AGTACTAGGAATAATTAATTTTCCAAGCATCCATTTCTCTTCACAGAGCTTTCTAAAAAAACTCAAATAGATACTCGCCGCCTTGGTCAAAACTAAAAACACAAAAGCACTTATCTAATTGATCTCGACCTCATATGTGCAATGTCAAAATTCATCTCAAAACTTGACTTATGGGAGATCAAATAGTCTTGACTCAGATGCGTATCGTAATCTATAAATATGTCGAGATTGAGGCTTAGCTATCATATCCTTACACATATCTAGTCACAAAAATCATAGTGAACTAAATGCGCTAAGACAAATGACCTTCTACAACTTTCCTACTTACTTGTGCGCAACCATTGCGAACAAAGTTACACATTCACATGAGAGTAGGATGTCATAAGCGAGTGGGCCTGAGAAGGCCTACTCAAACCATCGTGTCATCATCTCATTAAGGTGATTAAGTATAATAAGCCACCGGTTCATGACCAATGTCATAAACTAATTCCAATCATCTTAATGTGTGAGTTCTCGAAGACAAGTTTTAAAGGTTTAGGCCCAATTAGGTAATGACTAATTCATATTCACTAGATCATAAAAGGATGTCATGGAGATATCAAGTGCGCCTAAGTTACAAATTTAACTAGTAAGTGCTAATCCCCTACACTTTTAAGTTAATTTTATTCTCCATACACTTTACTGCATCTAATTGAAAGATGACGATACTCTTCTTGCCATCCCTGTTTTTTGCTTCATAGTCACTTGCAATTAATTCTACTATTCACAAGAAGGAGAGAATAAGCTATCAATCTATGACAGCTCCTGAAGTAACTTAAGCGCGAATTAGGCTAAAGAGTCTAATTCAACACAATGCTCTCACAAGCGATGTGTCAAATTCTTAGAGTCATGACAACCTTGCCAGCCTTGACCTTTCATTACTATGCTGCAACGTTTGCACTTAGTGGTAAACATTATTAAAAAACGTTAGCCTAGCTAAGGAATCATACAAAGAAGCCCCTCCTCATGTCTCACACTCAAGTGTGAAAACAGTAAGTGTCCAGACTTAGATAAGTCGATAATGCTAATAGAATTTGCAGCCACTAAGCGCTAATTTTTTCACTTAATGTTAATAGATTTTGCAGCTTCTAAACATTAATCTTTTCACTTAGTGTTAATAAATTTTGCAGTTTCTAAGCGCTAATCTTTCACTTAGTATTAATAGATTTTGTAGCTTCTAAGCGCTTATCTTTTAACTTCACGTGATATTTCAACGCACATGATATTTCAACGCATACTATTATAGTGCATGAAATTTTGCTCCATCCATTCCCAATAATTGGGTAGAGAGCAAAACACTGCTCATACTGGCTACTTGTCTTACACTTAATGACTAATTTATTTAAGCTCGCGTTTTTTGGATGACGTGACTCTTGAATGTTACTTCATCCAATGATGTAACATTATTTACAAGTCAAATTACAAAGTCAATTCGCACAGCTCAATAGTCAAGATCATATACAGATCTATTGAGGGCTTACTAATTTCATAATTCCAAAACTCGCTAACCAAAACTACGTAGCATGCCGCTAACCATAGTGCACACATTAGTTTTTCAGCGCTGCTACAGACCCCCATTGGGGGTTGACCCCCAGTGACGTGGCAGCACACCATTCGTCGAAATAAAAAAAAAAAAAAACAGTTTTTTTTTTGGCCAATGAGAGGCCAACACACACGACCCCCAGTGACCCCCACTGGGGGTCTTAGGCATTTTTGTTAGTTTTTATTGTGCCAAACAAGGCAACAAAACCACGGCGACTTTGAGTCATGTTTCTTTACTTTGGCTCAATTTAAGTCTGAGCTAAAGTCTCCAAGACTTTTGCTCATCTAAAGAATAGGATTACATTGTTCACATTTGAACATCTCTACTAAGTCTAGATCAATCAATTAACTTCCATAAGCTAAGTCAATTTAGAGAGAAATTCATATTGGGATTAATTTTGATTCGTATAATATAATTTTTCCGCAAAAATCAAAATTAAATAGTGACAATATTGCACAAGTCGCAAGATCGAAAATCCGCTATGCTCGTAATCATCTCTTGCGTCACAAGTGACAATTATACAAAATTTAATTTAATTTATGCGCAAAATATTAGTTTTCGGGAGTAAATCTACAAAGATTTCTCTCAACCGAACAATCTCCCACTGACTATGGCATGTCAAAATATGATAAATTCCATACAATAGCATCTTAATGTAAATTTATAAATAACTCATGCTATATTCATTTAATAATGGAATTCAAATAAATAAATAAATAACTAATCATGCTTCTTTAATTGCAAAATATTACAAACCCAAAAAATATGCTGTATCCAATATTCAGATTATGTCATAATAAAAAGTACATAATTCTGAAATTTTTCTGAAATTTTCTGAAATTCTAAATAACTAATAAACACACATAAAATTAGAAATAAAATATTTCAGAATCTGATAAACTGAAAAAAAATATACCTGTAAACAGTAAAACATTTCAGAAGTCTACAATAAAAATTTCAACCCCAAAAAATTATTCATGCAATACCAGAAGCATTTTAAAGCATAAATAATGAATTATTCTCATAGAAAAAATACTTTTTATTTTCATAAAAATTTCAAAATTTTACAGAATATGGACAATTTAATTCTGAGTCTAATGGTACCAACTACGCATAAAACAAATCTATAACGAATTAATTATGACCATTTAACGCGATTCAGAATTTAAAACAGAACAAACAACGCCTTAGTACCAGCAGCCAAGCCAGCCAAGCCGCGGAGGAAAACGGCGCGGCTCAGTACGCGGCTCAGCGCACGGCGCGCGTGCGTGGCGCGGACGGTGTGCGCGCGGACAACGCCGCTAATGTGGGTGTGATGGCGCGTGGAAGCGCATTTGGCGCGTGACAGCGCTTGTAAACGCGTGTAAGCTATTCACGGCGTCAGGTGGTGCGTGCGGACCACACGCCGCCTTCCAGGGTGTTTTTTGGTCCAATTTCGGTACTGCCAGACTCCTTTTTCCAAAATAAAATCATTTATGGTATTAAAAATGACATTAATGAACATAAAAATAGGGTTTTTTATGCTCTTAATCTAATGAGAGTTAACATTTTCCTCATTTATAAACATTCATGTATATAATGTGTACATATATATATAAAAATCTACACATGATTAAAGAAAACACGAAAATACCAATTCATGCTCTGATACCAATGTAAAACAAAGTATAACGCAGCGGATGAAAAGTTTTCATAGTTATACCTTTTCAGCAGAGTCTGAAGTGAAGGATCTCGTGGGTAAATCACGTGCTTCCAAGGAGTGAACAACCAACCTAGTAGTGGAGTGATATTACAAAATGAATATCACCCACACAAATCACAGTGCAAAATGGCTTGATCGTTGTTTTTGGGAGAGAGACAATAAATTGGAAAAATATAAAACATACGTTGTTTTTCTCTTTTAATCACCCATATCCCATATCATATCAGATATATAAGATAATATCTCATCTATTCATATCAGTTGATATGATAGATATAGATATCCTAAGTGGTTATCCAAATGAGTTTTGAATTCAAATTCAAACTTACATGGATAAGGTTTAAAAGGTTCAAGTTAAAAAAGTTTAAAGGGTCATGTCACATGGGCACCCAATTTCTAACATATATATATATATATAAATATATATTTATATATACAGAGAGAGAGTGTGTATGTGTGAGAAAGAGTGAGGTTAGTCATGTTTTAAGAGAGAGAGAGAGAGAGAGAGAGTAGGAATGGCAACGGGGCGGGGCGGGGCCGGGGATCACCCTCCCCGTCCCCGATCCCCGATGGTGGAAACTCCCCCCGTCCCCGGTCCCGACCCCGACGGGGAGCTCATCACTACCCCCGGCCCCGCCCCTTAACGGGGATCGGGTTTCCCCGAACCCGAAAAGTCCCCGACCAAAAGAAAAAAAAAAATCAGATTCGACATCCCATTCAACATCAGATTCAAATCAGTTCCAAAAAAAATGTCATAAATAAGATTCAACATCATATTCAATATCAGATTCAACATCATAAATAAATATAAAAAAAACGAAAGAGAAGATCGAATGAGCTCAAATGTCATAAAAAAAAAAAATCAGATTCAACATCATATTCAATATCAGATTCAACATCATAAATAAATATAAAAAAATCGAAAGAGAAGATCGAATGAGCTCAAATGTCATAAAAAAAAAAAATCATATTCAACATCATATTCAATATCAGATTCAACATCATAAATAAATATAAAAAAATCGAAAGAGAAGATCGAATGAGCTCAAATGTCATAAAAAAAAAAAATCATATTCAACATCATATTCAATATCAGATTCAACATCATAAATAAATATAAAAAAATCGAAAGAGAAGATCGAATGAGCTCAAATGTCATAAAAAAAAAAAATCATATTCAACATCATATTCAATATCAGATTCAACATCATAAATAAATATAAAAAAATCGAAAGAGAAGATCGAATGAGCTCAAATGTCATAAAAAAAAAAAATCATATTCAACATCATATTCAATATCAGATTCAACATCATAAATAAATATAAAAAAATCGAAAGAGAAGATCGAATGAGCTCAAATGTCATAAAAAAAAAAAATCATATTCAACATCATATTCAATATCAGATTCAACATCATAAATAAATATAAAAAAATCGAAAGAGAAGATCGAATGAGCTCAAATGTCATAAAAAAAAAAAATCATATTCAACATCATATTCAATATCAGATTCAACATCATAAATAAATATAAAAAAATCGAAAGAGAAGATCGAATGAGCTCAACCCCGACCCGTCGGAGGTATTTTTTGGAGAATAATCATTCAATTCGGGGTTGGGAGATCGGGTCCCCGTCGGGTCGGGTTACAATTGCCATATGAGAGAGAGAGAGTGTGTGAGAGAGAGAGAGAGAGAGTGAGGTTAGTCATGTTTTATGTCACACTTGGAAGCGCTATTCCAATGCCATCCATTTTGCTGATATCCACACTCGTGAGCTGTATGTGAAGGTGACGAAGCCAAAGTTAGCCCCTTTCCTGCTCTCTCTCTGGATAGATAGATTCTCTCTATCCCCAAGCGTTACGTTTTCGAGCACTCTCAAACCCTAATTTCAGATTGAAGCCCTAATCTCTTGTGGCTGCTCTGCTGATCGGCAAATGCAGTGTAAAGGTGAGAACTTTTGCGATTTTGAATTTTAATTTTTTTATTTTGCAAGTTTAATTGTGAAATGTAGTTGTAGAACTTAATTGTTGGTCTTAAAAACTACCCATTTCACCGTTCTGTTGCTTTGATCTGCAAAATGTGGATTTTGTAGAGATTTTTTGAGGATGAGGTTTGATAATTTGTTACTCGATTTGTGCTTCTCTCTCTTTCTCAAATCTTCACATTAGAGTTCTGCGACTTTGATTTGACAATTTAGCTTTCTATCATTTCAAATTTGATCTTTCTCGTTTGTATTCCGTTTTTGGGTTTTCAAATCTCCATGGTTTTCATTTTGGGTCTTTATCTATTCATTGTTATTTTCTTGGGAAATAATTCATTGTTATTTTCTTGGGAAATAGTGGAGGGTTCTGCTGTAATTTGCATAAAGGCTTTAAACTTACTTCTGAGAAGAGAAGACTAGATGTTCTAGAGTTAATGCAAGCGATAGAGGTTTTGTTACTTACCTAACTGCATTTTCAATTTTCTTTGTTTTTGGTTGTTTTAAATTGCAGATTTATAATGTTAGTAGTAGGATGGTGTGAACTTGAAGTTTTGGCCCCTGTGCCATTTTGGCTCCTCTAATGTTAATTGGCTCGATTTTGACCATGAATTTATGATTTTGTCTCAATTTAGTCCAATTGACTACAATTGTTAATGTTTTTTAATAGAAACTGCACACATGAGCTGTATGTGTTATGGTTTTATAGGCAAAATTGTAAACTTTTTTGACTCAGTGACTTTACCCCAACCATCTCAGTGACCGTTTTGCATTAAAAACACTAATCGGTGTTATCAAATTGACACAAATCTAAAATTAAGGGTGGAAATTGATTTAATTGAAATTACTGGGACCAAAATGACACAAGGGACAAAATGCAGGAACTATCGATGTAATTTGTCATTTTTTGGTTCAAATTGTCTTGTCCAAATTGCAAATTAAAAAAAAAAAAAGAACCCCTAAGAATTCTAAACCTGAGATCCAGATCAGGTGTTTGAAGCGTTGCTCCAGGAACTGACCTTCTCCGTTTGTTCCTATTAATTTGACAAAGAATTTTTTTTTTTCACTCCAAAGTAATGATATACAAACAAATTCTTTTACATAGAACTTCATATCGCTGTTTATTTATCTATTTTGGCTATTCATTTAATACTTTTATTTCTATTTATATTTTCTGCATACTCAAACTAACACTGCACCTCGAATTTTATATTTTAAGATTTTTCTGTCATTATAACTATGATCTCTCTCCCTCTCTCTCTCTCTCTATGTATATATATATATATAAATTTATTTTTTAAGCAATCCATAACTACCACTGGTTCTACAGTTAGTATGGATTCACAGGACTGGTGGATATTTTATGTTGCCTTGCCTGATGGATATTTTACTCTCTCTCTCTCTCTCTCTCTCTCATGCACACACACAGAGCATATATTTCTTAGTGTTTTGGTACTTGGAAACGGACATAATTTGCTTCCTTTGTTTCAAAATTGTATTGTGGAGGTCTAGCAAATTTGTAGGGTTTGATTCTGGAGATCTCTAGAGCTTATGGAGGTTGGCGAGAATTATAGTTTCTTGTCCCGGTTTTATTTGATTTGTATTTTCTTTCCTGTGGTTGCAGACGTTTTGACAACTGCTGGATGGTTTGCCTTTGAAGTTCTTCTATGAGGAAATTTGTAATTTTTGTCTTAAAGCATTGATTCCAACTGGAGATTTCCAGTTTTCCAAAATTGTGAAAGCTTGAAATTTCTTTTTTCCATTGAGGTATACTTGGCCTTTTGGTACTGGTGTTCATTGATTAGAGCAAAGAAAGGAAATTGTTGTTGATGAAATAGTGCTGCAATAAGTTGGTAAAGATGTTATTCAACAAAGAAATCGAGGATTTGCATGATGATGGCTTTGAGGGGTCAATTAATGAAAGTCGTATTTTTACAGAGGTGTTCTTTGGAAATGACTGCGATACAACTAGTAAGAGGTGTCTTGTTACTGGAGTTATTAATTTTGAATGTGATTACAGTAGGCACACAGACATGTTGCTTTGCTCAAACAATGAAAAGTCAGCCATAACAAGTCAGGTGGGTTCTTGTAATGTAAAGGAGGATTCAAAAAACAATTCTGGTAAGCAAATGAAGTTGGCAGTAGATGAGCTTTCTTATTCCAGACCTAATTCCAGAGGGATTTTGAAATCATCAGCTCTCTCAAAGGAAGTAGTTTCTGGTATGTCAGCTTCACAATCAATCTGCCACACTATAATGGGTCGTTTAGTTGAATCATCCGGTCAGGGTGTTACTTCTAGTTGCTATCTGCTAAAGCAGCATGCTGAAATAAACTCAGGAGGTGAAATAGGTGACAGAGATGTTTCTAATCGTAGGCTGGAGAGCTTGGATGGAAGTGATGAGAAGGAAGTGAATGCAAGTAAAGCTATTGCTTCACCTGTTTCTCAGGAGAGCTTTGCGTCCAAGCTTTTAGTTGCAAGTCCATCAGTCACTGTTGCAAATAATTCTGGATCTCACCGATGTGCCGAGGAAAGAACAAAGGCATCCAACTCTAGTGAACTGTCAATGGCTAAAATATCGTTGAATAGAGTTTCCATGAAGGATCCCCGTCCTCCTCTCCGCAACCACATCCAGAACCTACTTAGAGCAGCAGGATGGCAGATTAGGAGGCGTAAAAGAGAAGATAATATTAGTGGGGAATTTCTTTATTTGTCACCTTGGGGAGGAAGACCTATTCGTGAATTACGTAGAGTTTGGAACTTATGTGGTCGGAGTTTGCTTGCTGATGGAAACATTGTTGTGCGAGAAGATAGTAAACTGTGGACTGATATGACTCATTTCTGGTCTGATCTATCTAATACATTTATCAAAATCGAGGAAGAATTGAACAATACAGAAACTACTGCACTGGCACGTCGGTGGTATCTTCTCGATCCCTTTGCTAATATGGTGTTAATTGACAAGAAGCTTGGCACTCTAAGAGCAGGAAAAGTAGTCAAAGCAAGGAGAACTTTGGTGATTGATACATCTGCAAAAGATGATTCTGTTTTGGCCTTGAAAAATGCCAATGGCATTGGAAACCAGTTGGAGAGACCTTCAACATATCGACTTTGTTATTCTTCTGTGGCCAGTGAAAGTGCATTGACAGTTTCTGAGGGAATTCAATGTAGGGATTTCTCTGGGAACAAAAGAAGCAGACTAGATCTGAGTTCTTTACAAGCTTATGGGTCTGATGGGACTAGTGATCATTTTAGTAGTTGCTTATTTGAAGTTCCCATCACTTCTGGAAATGCACATGTCATGCATGGAGGGCATGAAACTGTCTCTCGTCATCATGATTGCAATACAAATTCCCCAAGCTGTGCTAGACACAGATCTGACCATGGCGAGGAAATGGTTTTGGAAGTAAAAAAAAATGTATCCAAGGGTGAAGAAGGCAAAACTTTCAGGGGAAAATTTACTGAGAAGGTGGAAAATCAGCTGAAGTCGTTTATTTGCTCTTCTCAACGCCGGAATGGGAAGAAACTGTCAACATTTGGGAAGTTCCATCAAAATTCTGGTAGTGCTAAGAAATCTAACCAGTTCTTTTCCGAGGAGTTGAACTTTAAAAATATTACTGTTGAGGTCCCTCTTCATGTAAAAAATGAGTCTCTGCACCCTGAAGCTTGGAGGCAAGACATCAAATCAGAAAAAGCTGAATCTCAAAATGGACAGAAGAGATCAATTACATGCCAGCTTAAGGATGATGACCTTTTGATTTCGGCTATCATAAAAAACAAAACTTTCGGATCAACTACCAAACGATCTGCTTGGAAATGCAAATCAGCATCTCTGAGAAAATACAAGAGCCAAAAGGGCAGTTGTAGGTTGCTTCCAAGGAGCTTGGGTAAGGGTGGAAAGCACATTGACGGGAAGTGGTCCATGTTTGGTTCAAGAACTGTATTATCCTGGTTGATCGACTCTGGGGTTGTTTCTCTTAATGAAGTTATTCAATACCGGAATCCAAAGGATGAATCTGTGGTGAAAGATGGCTTGGTTAATCTGAATGGGATCTTATGTAAGTGTTGCAATAAGGTGCTCTCTCTCTCTGAATTCAAGGTTCATGCTGGTTTCAAGCTGAACCGTCCTTGTTTGAATCTTTTTATGGAGTCTGGTAAGTCATTCACTTTATGCCAGCTTGAGGCTTGGTCAGCTGAATACAAGGCTAGGAAAAGTGCCACTCGAACTGTTCAAGATGATGAAATGGACGAGAATGATGACAGCTGTGGTCTGTGTGGGGGCGGGGGTGAGTTGATATGCTGTGATAACTGTCCATCTACGTTTCATCAGGCATGCTTGCATGGACAGGTTTGTCATTTTCATGCTTTATAGCTGATATTCCAGATTTCTTTCTTGGTTCCTTTGCGTGTTTCCTGCAGTACTACATGTACTAGACATGCATGCATGCATGTTGGGGACACAACGAGAACATGCCCCCCCCCCCCCCCCCCCCCCCTAGTGTTTTTGATAGATATGTTCAATGTTTATTACTTTTTCCTTAGATTTAATAATTAACAGATTATCCATAAAAAAAGACATAAACGATTAGGGTTAACTTAAGATTTTACTTGTTTGTTTATTTATTTAAATATTGAATTAGATTTAGTTTTTGTTATTTTTTGATTGGTTGTGGTTGTAATATTAATCTATATAGCAAATAACATTTTCTTATTGTTGCGTTCCCATTTTTTTTTTAAATCACCGTGCCCACAATGTCCATGTCCATGTTCGTGCTTCTTATCTTGTAGTAATTCATCCTTGGGACTTAGATCCAATAAAATAAGTAACTTGAGGTCTGTGGGCAAGAAATTCAAATAATGTAATGTGAATTAATTGATTCCGGAAATAATATAAATTCATCAGCTATTGCATCACATGGGCATGGTAGTCAAATTGCTTGGGCGGTTTGTTGAAGCATTTTAGAGTGGGCTTTTTTTTTTAAAAAAAAATGATTTATTAGGGGATGATTGTTCTATTTTTTAATGTTTATTTTATTATTATTATTATTATTTTTTGCTTAGTTGTGTATGCCCCCCTACAATTTTCTTTGTTATTGATAAAAAAAAAAAAAATTTGCTTGGGCGACCTTGGTGATTGCCTAAAAAACTAACATTGACATAGTGTAAAGATAGTTAGTTCTTCATTGATACATCTGCACAACTGAATTTTAAGATTTTATGCTATTTTCAAAATTTTAATTTATGAAATGCCTATCAAATAGAAAACAATTGTTTATCACTTAATTGCACGAAGCGGGGGTTGGGACGAGAGCGGAGGAGCGAGGGCATATAGAAGTTTCTTAGGTTTGGGAGTGCCTATGGGAGTGTGTATATATTTATTTATTAAATATATATGAAAATATTCTAAAAATTATGTTTTTTTTTTGGATAAATAATTATAAAAATTATGTTTTATTGCTTAGTTGTCATCTATGTATTAAAATATGAATAAATATTAGAGATTCATGTCAATTACAGATTGTTTTTATTAAGTATAAATAAATATTATATAAATAGGAACTATTATAATAAATTTGAGTTGTTTTTCTTTTATTTCTATGAGGTTTATATGTTTGAGAGGTTTCTATCTCAGTTAGGAGCGAGGTTCTTTCTCGACGGGAGTGAGTTTCTTACAAGTTTCTTACTTGGGAGTGCGAAATCGCGTTTCTTAGTAAGAAACGCCACTCGAGTAGAAGGTTCCTACAATGAAGGTTCATCACTATGAATACTCATTAGAAGTTAAGAATGCTTATATATTTGTAAATTTAATTTTCAAAGGTGAAATGAGACATTGAAGTTACAATATATATTCTTAACCTCTTACAACTTTTTTTTTGATGACCGTGTGTCTGAACCAGTTTACGCGTACTTCAACTAATCCCGAGATCCACACAAAGTGCCCTCTCCATGTGTTTCAGGCAAATCTCGAGCAAAATTAGTGGGAGTTGAATTTGAGAATTGGAGGGAGTATACCCTCAGGCCTCAAGTTGTACCCACTAGGCCAACCCTTTCGAGTTTTAACCTCATACAATGTAGTTCATTATATATAATTTTTTTGTTCTACTTTTGTTTTCACTTGAGGTTCAATAAAGCATATATAAGTCTTGTGTAGCTTTGACCATTGGACTAAACAAAAAATGATTAGTAATATTATTATATGAAGAATTACATATTTATTATCTACGGAAATGACTAATGAGAATATCAAGAATGTTCAATCCATTATTATTGCGTCATTTATTCCAAGATGACCACTTCTTTAAGTAGCATGTATGATTTATGAAGGAAACTTATCTATGTTGTGTATGATTTGGAAACTAAATTAGCTTATTTGGTTTTACTTTTCAGGATTTACTTTTCAGAAAATTGAAATTTTTTGTTTTCCATGTTTTTTTTGTTTTCACTGATTTTTTTAAAATATTTTAAGCAATTTTTTTTTTATTTTTTATTTTTTTTATTTTAGTTTTTAGATACACTTAACATAAGTACACTTAAAAAATATAATAGTTGTGAAAAAAAATCTTAAAAAATTCACTAAATACCAAAAATATTAAAAAATTCGAAAATTTATTTTCGTATTCTTGTGTATTTATTATTTTTTAAATTTTTTTTTTTACAAATATTTTACTTTTTAGATACGTCTAAGTAAGATGCATCTAAAAAAGTAAAAAAATTGCTTAAAATTTTAAAAATATTCACTAAAAACCAAAAAATACAAAAAATAAAAACTCAATTTCCAGAAAATTGAATCCAGAAAATTGAAACCAAACAAACTGAATATTTCTTGGATTTTATAGGGTGCATGTTTGATATTTCCTACACATTTTGTAATTTAAATATGTAAATGTCTTTCAAGTTTCAAGCCCTAAGATTTGGTTTTTCTAGTAATGCCTGTACAAACTCTGTTTGGTGTTTGTGTAAATTTTTCATATCTGATTATTGAAATTTATTATTAATATAAACATTTTTCTATATTTTGCGCATAATTTTCTATATATATATGTTAAAATGTACCAAAACCTACCACTACACCTACTCCACCCACTTCACCTACTCCACCTACTACTCCACCTACTACATACCTACCTCCTTTAATCTTCTATATATAGGACTCATTGTAAACATCAAAACATCAATCAATAATACATCAATTTTAACATGGTATCAGAGCAAGGTTAAGAAACTAGTAATTCTGCTTCACCGGCGGGCGGCAGCCTCGCCTTGGCCGCCCGCCGGACCTCTACACATGCTCTCACTCCCCTCTTTCCTCCTCCTTCTTCTTCTTCATCCAACAAGAATCTCCCTCTGCCCCCAGGTAGACCACTCATTGCTTGTTGCTGTAATGAATTTAATTCTGCTCTCAATGCTGCTGCATCTTCCTCTGCACGGTATTGTTCTTCTTCTGCTTCTTTTACTCGTTTTTTAATCGTGCGAAGTTGGGCTGAGAGATCCTCCTACACTACCGTGCAACAACTGCAGCATCTTTTTCCATCGCAACATCTTTGAGAGCTTTTCTCAAGGATGATACAGTATTCTGTTCCAGATCATTTAAACGCTTTTGAATCACATCACACTCTGCATCCTTCGTCTGAAGCTTGGACACATGTTCCTTCAACACCTTCTTCAGTGAAACCAGCGTCGGAAAGTAAACAAGCTTGAACACTCAAAAGCTCGGCTTGGCTCGGCTTGTTTGTAGCCCCAACATAAACTTAAGTTAATAGTATAGGAATGCACACATGGATTCTCACAAATTTTGGTACAAGTAAGCAAAATGTGGAAATGATTTCAGCCCCAAATAGGAAAGAAGAAAAGAAAGAAAGAAAGAAATAAAGAAAAAGGAAAGAAAGCAAGGACAATGTTGTAAGTTCAATAGAATAGGTCATGCCCATTGTGTAGCCCTAGAAAGAGACATATATAACTCTCAACTAACTGAGAAGATGGCTACACCTCCACCACTGTGGCCATCATATGGTTGTGATGGAGGAATTGGTCGTAAAGGACGATGAAGATGATGAAGATGTGAAGATGCTCATGTCTTTTGATAAGTGGATCAGTGATTTACCAGAATATGAGGTTTGACTTTAACTTTCTTTGTGAAATGGGTTAATCTTTGTCTTGTTTTTACAAGACATTCACATCCATTCAATCATAATTGCTATATAGTTTAACTTTCTTTGTGAAATGGGTTAATCTTTGTCTTGTTTTTACAAGACATTCACATCCATTCAATCATAATTGCTATATAGTAGCAGATTCACAGTGTATTTAGGTGAATAGGTTATTGATGAATAATCTTCTTGTTCTCTTATGCATGGTTATCAAAATTGCAACCCGGATCGTATCCCGTGATCCGAATTGTATCTTACGATCCTAAATTGCCAAAACGATCCAAATTGTTGTAGGATGGTGTTATTGTAGGATCGCAAGTAGTATCGTGTAAGATCGTATGGGATTATGTAAGATTGTATGTAGGATCATTGGTTTGTGATTTTTCATCGTACTTTTAGTATGTATCATCATGATATATGTTTTTACCATATTTTTAATAGAAAGTAGGATCTTACGATCTGATCTTACAATCCGATCTATGAGGCCCTCTTAATGGTATTCCGATTTTAACAACCTTATCCATTTGAGATCTTAAAAAAAGGATAATTGAAGTTCACGAGGCTCCTGCTAACAAGCGTCTGGGGAGGGCAAGATGTGCGCAGCCTTACCCCTATTTTTGGATAGTTGGTTTTCGTGACTCAAGCTCATGCCACTAGGGACTAACGACAAGCGTTACTGTTGAGATCTATTTCATTTATTTCTAAGATATGACTGTACGTGTCCATCCAGGGCAATAATTTATGCTCAGTGAATTTGATGTCATTTTTGTTCATGTTCATTATTCCAAAAAATGCATGTTGTTTTTTTTCCTTCTACATTGGACTGATTGGCGTAAGAATTACCCTTCTAGTGTTTGTGTGTGGAAGGAAATCAAAGTCGTCATCTTTTCTTTTGGTTCCAGATTTGTGCATTTGCCCTTTCTGACAGACTACCCCTCATGCCCCTCGTTCCCTTCTATGGCATATTCATGCATTACATTGCTTTTAATAACATTTGGCATGGTAGTCCTATAGTTTCATCTACTTATATAATGAGTTTAAGATCTTATGTATGCTTTTTTTGGGATTCGTTTTTACTGCCATTATTGTGTGGAGTTTAAGGTTGCCTTGGATATCTAACTCGATCTTGTTTCTTTCCTTTAGGAGCTCCCTGAAGGCAGTTGGTATTGCCAGCACTGCACTTGTAGGATTTGTGGTGATCTTGTTAAAGATAAAGAGCCTTTCAAATCACCTGGTGCATTCAAGTGTTCACAGTGCGAGCATAAGTGTAATTTTATATCCCCTAACTCATAGTAGATTATTTGAATCTAAATATGTTTTGGATGCCTATAGATAGCTTCAAAATATTTAGTAGGATTATTTTCATTGTATCAAAAAAAAAAAAAAAAAAAAAGGGACGAACAAGTCGTAGGGTAATTTGGAGTTGAATAATTCAAAAGTAGAATTGGCATTTTGATTACTGCTTGTGAAAAGTGATGCATCGCATGAAATTTATTAAATATCTGGCAAATGGGGCTGATAACTATAATACCATTGCCAACAAAATTTTGTATTCGTATTTCTTGGCCCTTGTTCATAAACAATTATCTTCTTCTTCTTTTTAAATGTATATTGAATTTTGAATGGCAACAACTGATCAAAATATTATCTAATTTAACATTTTAGAGGAATATGGGCTCGAATATCTTTCTTCAATGCTCTATACATTTAATGAAGCTGATTGTTATTGATTTAATATTTATATCTTAAATTTGATTAATGCAGTCGGTATGAATTTTTTGTATACTTTGAGGGGAAAGTAGGTAAGCCTGTTTGACATTCTTGTTAAGAACAAGCATGCAGTCATGATTGTTTTCTTTCTTTTTGTCTTCTTTTCTTCTTATCACCTGGCCCTGTTTGGTAAAATTTATGGGCTTGTTTGGTTTTGTTTGGTTTGGTTTTTTTTCAAAAGATGTTTTGAAAAATTATTTTGAGAGAGAGTTTTGGAAAAAGTGATTGATTTGATGTGTATGAGAGAGAGATTTGTTTGGAAAACTTGTAAACCAAACAAGTTTTGGAAAAAAATTTTGGGAAAATTTGTTTGGTTTGATTACTTTTGAAAACTTATTTGTAGAGAATTTTTCCTAAAATTTTTTGAGAAACACAAACCAAACAAGGCCTATATGTTTACAAAAAATTTCAACACTGGACATAGAAACTTGTTTGGTGTCTGTTTTTGTTTCCAAAAAAATGTAAACAGTTTACAAATTTTCTAAATTCTATAAATAAAAATAAATGTTTTCATTGGTTTTGAAAACAAGTTTTCACTCCTCCCTCCCTCCCTCCCTCCCCCACCCTTTCCGGTCACAACTCACCAGCCATCACCACCTTTGGCCACCCACGTTTTTGAGAATGTACCAAACAATATATTTTTATTTTTATTATTTTTTTTATTTTTGTTTTTCATTTTTACCTGAATAAATATGAACATGTTAAACTTTTTCTGTAAGCAAAAAATAGTAAACTATAAATGTTAACAAACACTGCCAACAAACAATTAATAAGCACTCCTCCTAGCAATCTCTATTTTAATTTTTTCTTCGTTTAGTGTTCCAATGTTGATGATAGTCTTGTAGATAAAAAGAGTTTCAATCTGTAGTTTAAATTTTCGTAGTACATTTGTTTTCCATGATTCTTTTCCTTAGAAATTTGGACTCTTACTAGTCATTATGGTGGTGGATATGAACAGACCATGAAGCATGCCTGAAAGAGAAGGGTGAATGTAGAGAAGTGGCTTCTGATACCTGGTTTTGCCGTGAAAGCTGTCAGGAGGTAAATTTCAGTTTTTTCTTTTCAAAACTTCAGTTGATTAAAAGGTATACAACAATTAGAAATAGGACATATTTGATAATACTAAGAAGCACAAACACTAGTAAGAAGGTGGCATGTCTGTATTTGACATGTTTCACACATTGACACTCATCTAACACTTCCCGATATGTATCCGATACTCAGTCCAAATGTGTCCTGATTTTTTTTTTTCCTGATTAGAAAAATGTATTTATAGGTGCTTAAGCATATAAAGTGGGCATTTCTTAATTGCAATTTGCATCCTTTGTATATTAGTTTTTAATTTTTATATATTATCCTGAAGTCCCAGCCTCCCAGGGATGTGTCTGGAAAATTTTGATACATTTTGTTGAAAGATGTTGGACTAAGCTATATGGCACAGGAGAGTTGTTGCTTGCTGTTTTATCGAACCTGTTGTACATGAGCCTAGAAATAAAAAGTTTCAAATAAATTTAAGTTGTCAGTTACCAAAAAGGAAAAAAAAAATAAAAAATCAGGTGTGACAGAAAATGATGCACTTGAAAGCTTCCATACCGGTTTTGAGGCTGTGGTATGATGCTTTTATATATTGTTCAATAAGTGCTTTTCAAAGTCATTATACTAATTCTCTCAAAAAGTATAACAATCTCCATTATGAATGTCATTTGGTAGCTGATATAACATATGGTTGATGACATTGTTTGTTTGTCGACTATTTGTTCAACCTCTATCTGGATGTGTGATTGTTTATGTTCAGTTTCATCTACAAATCCCCAACTATTTTGGGGTGCAGACTGTTGGCTGCTCTTACTTACGAACCTGTAAGCATAAAATACGAATGGGTTATAGGAGCAAGAGGCAGTTTCATGAGTCATGCCTCTGCTTGTATTTGTAGTGATTTTTCTTGAATTGCTGAACAAAGACAAAGATGACAGTTTCACAAATGTCCTCCTACTCCTGCAGAGGATTTGGTGTGTTACCAATCTTTTGTCAGGATCCATAATAAGGGCAGTTCAGAGTTCTGTTTGAAGATGATAGACATATAGGAGACTCCTGATTCTGCAGGCCATATATTGTTCAATAAGTGCTTTTCAAAGTCATTATACTAATTCTGTCAAAAAGTATAACAATCTCCATTATGAATGTCATTTGGTAGCTGATATAATATATCGTTGATGACATCGTTTGTTTGTTGACTATTTGTTCAACCTCTATCTGGATGTGTGATTGTTTATGTTCAGTTTCATCTACAAATCCCCAACTATTTTGGGGTGCAGACTGTTGGCTGCTCTTACTTACGAACCTGTAAGCATAAAATGCGAATGGGTTATAGGAGCAAGAGGCAGTTTCATGAGTCATGCCTCTGCTTGTATTTGTAGTGATTTTTCTTGAATTGCTGAACAAAGACAAAGATGACAGTTTCACAAATGTCCTCCTACTCCTGCAGAGGATTTGGTGTGTTACCAATCTTTTGTCAGGATCCATAATAAGGGCAGTTCAGAGTTCTGTTTGAAGATGATAGACATATAGGAGACTCCTGATTCTGCAGGCCGATTCTGCAGGCCATTTATCTTGGGCCCTTGAAGTTGATTGTGGAGATGTTTGGAGTTATCTGACACATAATACTTGCATCAGCTGAACTGTGATGTACTTCAATGTGTCTTTCTGTTTAGAGGTAATGTGCTTGCTTGTAAATGGTGGGGTCTGCATATAGAAAGAGCATGGTGAGACTTAGATTGTGATATTTCCATTTCCACAAAACAAACCAAACTAAGCCTTGCATCCTAGTAAAGTGTGGTCGGCTAAACTAAACATCAAACAAAGGAAATTAAATAAAGAGTTACTAAAAAACATGACACTATGCAAGCACATTAGCTCATATCATGCAATCAAAGATTTGATAGTATTACCATTTATACTCCCTGGTCATGGGGTGGGTCCAAATCGTATAAGGTCACATATCTGATACATGCTCCCTTTCCCTGATACATACTCACATCTTGGATGGAAAATTGATTTACATTGTTTATTTGAAAGAAAAATGAGTGACAAATTCATAGAGAGGAGTTAGCTGCATAGCAGAGAAGGGAAGAGAGTAATGTGATTACTTAGATGTATGGCAAGTTTAGTTGCATTGTCTTTTAGTTTGGATGTTTCCAGCTGTCATTTGCTTCCACTCTCTGCACTTGCGAGCTTGGTTCTGGTTTTTTAAAGAACATATTACACTTTTGCATGCAGGTGTACTTGGGCATACATTCCCGTATCGGGTTTGTAAATCTTCTCCCTGATGGCTTCTCTTGGACCCTTTTGAGGTACATTCATGGCGACCAAAGAGTTCATTCCGATCAACGACCTGTTGCACTGAAGGCAGAATGCAACTCAAAGCTGGCTGTTGCTCTTACAATTATGGAGGAGTGCCTTCTCTCTATGGTGGATTCAAGAACAGGCATAGACATGATACCCCATGTATTGTACAATTGGGGGTAAGTTTTTTTTTCCGTTTGAAAATTTTCTGAACTTTCTTCTGTATCTGGTTTGTGTCCAACTTACATTGATCTTTGTATTTTCAACTTCTTTTTTTTTGGGCATGTTATTCTCTCTCTTTCTCTCCGTGATATTGTTTCTTGAGACTGCACAATTATTATACTTTTTTTTTTGAAATTTCAGCTGACTGTCATGTTCAATTGGTGGTTATTTTCTGTTCATGTGCATAATGCCAACTTGTGGTTGCATTGTTTACCGGATGATCTCTTATTTTTGTAGTTGGTGCTAATATATGTGCTTGCCAATGTGGTGGTAGTTAAATTTTACTGCTTAACAAATCTGTTGGTTTTTAGCAGATCACATTTTGCACGCCTAAACTATATTGGATTTCACACAGTGGTTTTAGAGAAAGATGATGTGCTGATGTGTGTCGCATCAATCAGGTAGTTTTTATTAGCTGTAATCTTCTCTGTGAAATCTATTTCAATTTGTAACCTTTTGCAGTTAGTGCTAATGAAATTATATTAAAGACAATTTGTAAGCTGTACCCCATATTTATAAATATTTGTTTCTCCATATTTTGGGGTTTGGATGTAAAGCTTCTGATTTGAAACATACATTAGTACTCCAGATATTCTACCAGAAGTGGCTATGTAGGTCTCGAGTGAAAATACTCCCTATTCACCTGGGCATTGAAGAAATTATGCTGAGAGTAATGTAACAAATTTAGGTTATCTTATTTTCTATCCTTGATCATGCTATTTATATTGCAAATTCAGTTTTTATTTATTATTTTTTTAAATCATGCTATTTATATATGGAGAGTAGACTTCATAGTTATTGTACCATCTCATGCATCACCTAAGTACAGCTGGCAAATGGTTGTTTTTGCCTTTAGAATGAGAAAAGCTAACTTGGTATATGGTTTTGTACCTTTTTGGTCTGTAGGTCTCGAGTGAAAATACTCCCTATTCACCTGTGCATTAAAGAAATTATGCTGAGAGTAATGAAACAAATTTAGGTTATCTTATTTCTGAATTTGGGTTACATAGAAAATTCCTATATTTTTTTCTATCCTTGATCATGCTATTTATATTGCAAATTCAGTTTTTATTTATTATTTTTTTAAATCATGCTATTTATATATGGAGAGTAGACTTCATAGTTATTGTACCGTCTCATGCATCACCTAAGTACAGCTGGCAAATGGTTGTTTTTGCCTTTAGAATGAGAAAAGCTAACTTGGTATATGGTTTTGTACCTTTTTGGTCATTTTCTCTGCGGATTGTCTTCTGGATCCCTTTATAGTTATTACGTTGAAAGCAAGAATTCTATGATGCTTCTTTTCTCCTCATGTACAAGATATCGTGTTGAATATTTTATCTACTAATATTTGTTTAACCGACAGTTTCCTATTGTTACTATGGACTGTTGGTACCAGTCCTGCCTTGGCAATGTTTTAACTATCACCTTGACTTTACATTTGTGGTAAGGTTTGTCAATACATCAAAAAGGTTTTACTTAAGTTGCAAATATAGTAGTCTTAAAATGTCAATTTTTTAACTTGGTCAGATTTTGGTGATTTTTAAATAAGATTACAGAGAGTGTTTTAGGATAGTTTATAAGAGAGTGCAATTGTGGTGTTTGGCTATAGTTTTCTCCTTATATTATATACATATATGCAATCGTGTATATAAATATAGTTAAATGTTCTTCAAAGGTGAAGGTTTTTGGGAACATTATGGGTGTGTTTTGGTATCATTTTAATTTTCTGTTTTTCTGTTCTCAAAAACATAAAAAATGGAGCCTCATATGGAAAACTTGTTTGGCGAACTGCTTTTGAAAACTATTTTTGTAAATACTTTAAAATTGAAAATTGTTTCCACCTGAAAATAAAAAACGAGTGTTACTGAACTTTTCATAGGCTTTTTTTCCCTGAAAACACGAATAACGGAAGTGAAAATTTTGAAAATGATACTAAACAGGGCCAAACTTTATTTTATATGTTTTCCTGGGTTTTGGAATGGGTTGCTTGAATCAAGAATGCAGGATTCATTCACTCTATTTAATTGACCAATTTGTCATCCTTCTTGGGGGATTAGGGTCTACAGGTAGAACCCACGTTTCTTCAGTTATTTCTTCTGTCAACCTGGTATCCAGTGGCTTTGGCAGCATGTTGGAGATTAGTTGAACTAGATGCTCCCCAACAAAAAAATTGGCAATTTGGGTTAGGACTAAATGAGGATGAAAGTGAGGTTTGAGATTTATTTTTGACAGATTGTGTAGGGTGTTTGGCGGTATATGATTGCTTGGTGGCTAGTAGGGTAGAGAAGTGTGGATACATTTTGATTTGTATGCTACAATTCAAAAAATTTGTATATGCTTGAGATGAAATTATCCCTGAGAAAAAGACAGTGAACTTACATCTTATTCACAGTCAATCATCCGAGGTTTTTCAATGTGACAAACATGAATTTTGCTTTTGCCTTTGTTTGCTAAATCCATGTATTTCGTTAGAGCATCAGATATTAGATCCCTTTTTTTCTCTGAACATATCTGTTTGGGCTTTTCCTCCCCCCATAACTATTTAATATGCTTCATTAAAACATTTCAAATATGGTTTTGTTCTTCTTCTTACTCTTCATATTATTTATTGATAGTTTCTCATTTTTACCAACTCTTTTCTAAATTTATTTTTTGCTCATCTAGACTTTTAATTTGTAGAATAATCCAGGCAACGTCACATTTAAATTCAAGCTTCAAATTTCATGCAGGATCCATGGAGTAACAGTAGCGGAGATGCCTCTTATTGCAACTTGCAGTAAGTATCGTCGCCAGGGAATGTGTCGGCGCCTCATGAATGCTATTGAAGAGGTAATTTGTTCCATTAAGAAGAACCATCTTGTTCCATAGAGCTTTTTTTTTAGTATTATTTGATAGCAAGCATGGACACTTCAAAATGGGTGCCATGTTCATCTTCAACACGTATCGAATATTGATATGCCGGGAGCATATAAATTTTTTTGGAAGACACTTTGGTGATACCTAATGGACATGTGTCTTATGTTTGAACATGCCTCAGGACATCTTTGTGGAATTTCTTTTAAAATTTTTGAGAACTGATTTGGGTCAAAGTAAAATATATGAAAACAAAGAGAAGGGAAAGTGACATTGGTGTCACTTGTATTTCTGTGCCTTAAATTTATATTCGTATACATTGCAAATAAGAATATATATATATATATATATATTTCTTGCCACATCCCTTCTGTGTCCATATCTTAATTTTTTTTTTTAAACTTCTTGTGCCAATTTCCATGTCCGTATTTGTGTCCATGCTTCTTAGATTATTTGCTTGAAGAGCCTGCAGACTGCAGTCTCCATTTGGTGATCCAAACTGTTACCATTGCGATGAGCAATGAAACCTCATATATTGGAGAAACTTTGTACCTTTTGATTTTCTTAGTCTTTTATTTTTTTTTTCATATATGCGAGTTATTAATTTATTAATCCACTGTGGTTGTAGATGCTAAGATCTTTCAAGGTCGAAAAGCTTGTGATATCAGCCATTCCTAGTCTGGTTGAGACATGGACAGTTGGGTTTGGCTTTAAACCCTTGGAAGATAACGAGAGAAATAGCCTGAGTAACATCAACTTGATGGTTTTTCCCGGAACTGTATGGTTGAAGAAGCCCATTTATCAAAGTCAAACGACAAATCAACAAAGTGGTGAGCATTTTCTTTCCTGCTCTTGGGTGTTGTATGGTATATTGACAATTTACTATTTTTGTTTACATAAAATTTTAAACATGTTTATGTTCTTTTTTCAGTAAAACCGATAACAAAAAAATATGTTTGACACAAACTTGCATTTTTTAAACTTATTTTGAAAATAAGTTTTTTGGGGGGGGGGGGGTGGTGGGTGATGGTTGAAAATAATGGACAAGGTAAGAGTGAGTGAAAATTTATTTTGAAAACGAAAGGTGTTTTTGTTTTTAATTTTTTTTTAATTGTTAAAAACCATTATACTCTTGTACTCATTAAAACCCTGATCTTTGACTGAATTCATGTACAAGAGAAATTGAAGATCACATCCCCACTTATGATGTGATACTTCTTCATAGTTGTATGTAATAATAATAGTCCATGAATAAAAATCAACAAAGTGAGATCAGTCAATTTATTCTTTCTCAAATGCCAGGACCACATGTGAGGTGCGATAGTCCAGGTGGGATAAATATCAATTGAGAGAAAGCCCCCATCAAATGAAAAGAAGTAATTTGGTGGTCAAGGTGATGTGCCTTAGGTCTATTTTGAAAAAAAATAATTAATTAATTAATTAATTTTTTTATTTTTTAAAATATTTTTTTTAAAGTGTGTAAAAAAAATAGTGAGATGATGTGACCTAAACAAGTCAATGAGGCAATAAATTGGCTTTTTTCCTAATTGCCTAAATAGGCCTTAAGATTATTATGATTGGTGGAGGGAATATGGTTTACGATTTTGTGTTTTTTGGTGAGATAGTGTTGGATGACAAATCAGTAAGGAGCATGGCATTTGCATGACATTTGCATGACATTTGATAATTAGGCCTAGTTTGGAAAGACTAAATAAGTGTA